CATAAATCTAACTATCAAAATAACAAATTAAATATATTGACACACTGTAACAGGCTTGGACAGGAATGGCGTGCGATTGCACACTGTAACTGACCACGCTTATAACTTTTTTTCTTTACAATTTTATCATGGTGGTTTTGATGTTTTAACAATTTAAATGCAATAAAAAAGTTGTTAAATTATGAATAACTTTTAATCGTTGATCTTTTTTAAAGTTTTTATTTTACGGGAAGGCTTTAAATAAATAAAAAAATTAATTCTCTACTCAACTTATGTCTTGTCTGATCCTAGTCAGTGCTCAGTTTCTTCACACTCACCCTTAGGTGCGTCTGATCATGCTTTGGTCTCTCTAAAACTATTATCTCATTCTTCTTTACCATCAGAATCCCCCTATCATCGTACATCTTACAACTACCTTAAAGCTGACTGGGACTCTTTCCTAGATTTTCTTCGTGATGGCCCCTGGGTAGAAATCTTTCGTCTCCCTGTTGACAAATGTGCTTCTTACATAACTTCGTGGATTCAGGCTGGCATGGAATCCTTTATTCTCTCTCGGTGATTCCAGGTCAAGCCTCACTCTTCTCCATGGTTTTCCTCACATTGTGCTGCTGCAATTGCCAATCCAAACCATTACTTCCATATCTATCAGCAAAACAATTCTCCAGAAAACAGACGTCTGTTTATTACTGCTAGGAACCATTGTAAAAAGGTTTTGTCTAACACCAAAGCTCACTATTCTCAGATCATGAAATCTCGTATTTCATCACAAAAACTAGGCTCTCGTGACTTCTGGAGAATCTTTAATAGTATCAATAATAAGGGAAAGTCTGTACTTCCACCTCTTTTGTATAGTTCAGACTTTGTCACCTCACCTAAAGACAAAGCTGAATTGTTTGCCAAAAACTTTTCATCAACATCATCTCTTGATGCCACTAGTTGCGTTCTATCTGATATAGCTGTCAAACAGGTTGATCCATTGCTCGACATCCGTATCACTCCAGCTTCTGTATCTAAAGTGATTTCCCGCTTAGACTCTTCTACAGCTTGCGGCCTGGACAACATACCTGTTACAGTCTTGCAGAAGTGTTCTCCAGAGCTGTCGTCTATCCTTTCAAAACTATTTAACAAGTGTTTATCAGAGTCTTGTTTTCCAGCCTGCTGGAAAGCAGCATCTGTTATCCCTATTTTTAAAAATTCTGGAGAGCGATCTGATTCATCTAACTACCATCCCATTAGTCTTCTTCCTATCATAAGCAAGGTTTTTGAATCTTTAATTAACAAACACATAATCTCTCATCTCGAATCTCATAACCTACTTTCTGATCATCAATATGGATTTCAACCTTCTCGTTCTACGGCTGATTTGCTATCAGTAATAACCGATAGGTTTTATCGCGCATTAGATAAAGGTAGAGAGGTTAAGGCCATCGCTCTTGACATTTCTAAAGTGTTTGATAAAGTTTGGCATGCTGGTCTTCTCCATAAGCTTTCTTCTTATGGTATATCTGGAAAAACATCTTAAACATCTTTAAGATTATTGAATCCTTTCTTTACAATCGTAGTATAAAAGTTGTCCTTGATGGATAGCACTCTTCTTCTTATTCTGTAACCTCAGGGGTTCCCCAAGGTTCAATCCTTGGCCCTATACTCTTTTTAATTTACATTATCGATCTTCCAGATATTCTCACATCTAAGGTGGCATTGTTTGCTGATGATACTACCATTTATTCTTGTCACGATAAGAAGCCAACTCCCTCTGATTGCTTGCAGGAGGCATCTGAGCTTGAAAAGGATCTCACTTCTGCTACAGCATGGGGCTCACAGTGGCTGGTGAAATTTAATTCAGATAAAACTCAATTTTTTTCGGCCAATCTTTATCGCAGCAATTTTGACCTTTCTATATTTATGAACGGTAATGTACTCGATGAGTCTCCTACCCTTCATCTTCTAGGATTAACTCTTACTTCTGATCTTTCTTGGAAACCTTATATCAAATCTGTTGCATAATTAGCATCTGCTAAAGTTGCTTCTCTTTATCGAGCTCGTCACTTTCTTACTCTGGATTCTATTCTCTATCTCTATAAATCTCAAATCCGACCTTGTATGAATACTGTTGCCATATCTGGGGCGGATCTTCTAATGATGCCCTTTCTCTTTTAGACAAGGTGCAAAAACGCATTGTAAACATAGTTGGACCTGCTCTTGCAGCCAACCTTCAACCTCTGTCACATCGTCATAATGTCGCTTCTCTTTCTCTCTTCTACAAATACTATAATGGGCACTGCTCTAAAGAACTAGCGTCTCTTGTGCCATCTACTAAAATTCTTTCTCATGTTACTCGTCATTCAATTAAGTCTCGTCTTTTTTCTGTTACTGTTCCTAAGTGCTCCAAAAATTATTATTCGTCTAGTTTTTTTCCTCGAACATCAGTCCTTTGGAATTCGCTTCCTTCATCATGCTTTCCTGATTCATATAATTTGCAATCTTTTAAGTTGTCTGTCAATCGTTATCTTACTCTCCAATCTTCATCTTTTCTCTTCCAGTAACTTCCAACACTAATTAGTGGTTGCTTGCAGCCTTGTTGGAACCAAAGATAATTAAAAAAAAAAAAAATTATAGTGATTGTTTAAAAGAAACGCATTTTATATAAATTAACAAACGCTACATATAAATTTTTTTTATGTTGGCATGTAATTTTTATGATAAATTTAAACGTTTGAAACTATTTGAACAATTTAAACGCTTAAAACTATGATAAATTTAAACTAGAAACTATGTCTTTCTAAAAATCTTTTGAAAGATAATTTTCTAAGTTAATTTTAAATTATGAATAAGTTAAATTAAATCTTCCATTACAATTGCTTTATTTTTGTTTCTATTTTTACAAAGAATTGTTTAAAACTTTTCTTTTTAACTTGACTAATTAATCAGAGCATGAAATGATTAAAAATTACTACTTTAAATAGACTACTGTATTTTTTTTAACTTTTTTTTTTAATGAATGAACAAATTTAAATATTATTTAAATATGTTCATTCATTAAACAATTGTTAGAAGTAATTTGTAAATGTAACTTTAAAAAAAGTTTAAAAAGATAGGTTTTAAAGTACTTTATTTTAAACGCAATTAAAAACATAATAAAAAGTAACTTTTGCTTCGAGTTTAATTTTTCGAGTTTTATTTTAATGTTTATATATTTTTATTCATAAAGAATTGTTTTCTTTTCTTTTTTTTTTTTAATTCCTAGTTTAAGTTTAGTTAGCATTTTTTTTTTTTTTCAGTGCATATCTAGAATGTTTAAAAACCATCTAAACATCTAAACCTCATGGTCAAGTTGTCAAAAAATAAAATCATTTGCATGGTCAACAATAGCGCTCGATCACACGCCATTCCTGCCCAACTTTGTGGTAATATTTTTTAAAGGAAAAGTTGCAAAATTATATAAAAGAAGAACTAATAAGACATGCCTCAATTTACAGGATTACAAGATGATCATCCTGTTAATGATCTTCCCACATTTAAACAAGTTTTATAGTTCTTCTACAAGCTCAACAATCAATATCATGTTTAGGTTTTAGAATTTCTTTCTGACCTTGTGATAGTCATATTGGAGTTTGTTGATTTTTTGTCATTTGTGAGCCTTATTTAACAGTTTTCTATTATCAATCAACACTTTGTATTGGTAATAGAAAACAGGAAAGAGATTAGGATGCTGATATATCAGATAATGATACCAATTTGTATTGGTGTCATTATCTGATATATCAGCATCCTAATCTCTTTCCTGTGTTTTCAGTAAATATTCTGTTTTTTCTTATGACATTTTACAGGTTTTGACATTAAAACTTCTTAGTTGTTTGCAGTCAACAATTGTTCTTTGTTGTTATTTATTTCCATCATGTTTTTAAACACTGTCTCCATCACCTTATGCTTTCCAATGTTTTTGCACTTTTATTGTAATATTTCTTTTGTTTACTTTGATTTTTTTTCATGATTTTTCTTAAACTTATTTTAGAACAATCGCTGATTGGATTTACTTAAGAAGTGAAAGACCCATTGGAAGTGTTGATCTCAATCTTCTTCCACTGATAAATTGAGCAGGTGATGCAAAACCACCATAAGGATTGTTTTTCACCTCAACTAGAGCAGTATACAGATCTTTATTCGACCTTTTCGATTTTATTGTTGATATTGTAAGCTACTATTCATATGTCTCCCACTCTTTATTTAATTTTTGGAATTCTAAAGACAATAAACTGTGTGCCATTGTCGCCCTATACTATCTGAAGTATGACAAGTCTGGACAAGATAACTTTAAGTTTCTTATAGTCTGTAATTGGATGTTGCATAATCTTTTTCAAAATGACTATAATAATCTACCACTATTACAAAATCCTGATTATTCTAGTGAAATAAATCAGTTGCTATATGCACACAGTCTATACATAATTTACCAATAGGTGTATTTACATACACCTGTTGGTTTCTGTATGTATAGACTGTGTGCATATAGTTTTTTTTTAGTATATATTTGTATATAGTATTTTTGTATGTTAAGATTTTTTAAATAGCTATTAATTTGTTTTTGTATATAAAGTTTATAATAGTAAGTATTTGTTATCCCTAATTCTTTTTTTTTTTTTTTTTTTTTTGATATAGATATGATTTAAATCATATTTAAATATTTAAATATGCAAATACAAAGATTTGACAAAAATTGTCAAATTTAGTTATACTTTTAGCTATACATTAGTTGTACTTTTCCACACAATATCATTTAATATTGGGTGGAAGAGTACACAAGTTTTCAGATCTATGTTTTTATATGATTCTGAGTCAGCATAATTCTATCATAATCAAATCATAAAAGAAGAGGGAGGGGGGGGGAGAGAAAGTCAAGTAACGCCACACATACCTACCATTAAGATAAAAGCTTTATTTATAATTATATAGATAAATATAAAGATAAATTTGCAATTATATAAATAAATAAGCCTTACCAAGCACTTTTGGAAACAGCAGTAGCTAGAACAGGAACATCTCCAATCGACATACATACTTCAACATCAAAAATAAGAACATCTTCATCAGGAGCATTTACTTTCTCAAAAGTTCCACTATTATTATACTTTGTCCATCCCTCAGACATTTGCCATTTCTCAGGCATACTGGGTAATGTGCTTAGTTTATTTGCCATATGCTCAGCTAAATTTTTATATTCTTTCACTATTTCAGTAGCAACTATATTAAAGTGATCGTCTAAATTTTCCCCTTGAAGTTGAGGTAAATCAAAGTCAATATTCTCTGCAATAGTTGAAGTTTTACCCCAAAGATTATGCTTTTCTAAATGCAGCTTTACTTTTTCACATATATTACTATCCACGTGAGATGGTTGTTTATATTTAAACAATTGCTTATAAAGACCAGGGGACAGCATTTGTATATTAGCATAATTTATTCGTTCTGATTCATTTTCATGATGCTTTGTTGTAAAGCTTCGAATTTTGATAGGTTTCTTATACTTGCAACATTTCCAATTTTTAATACAATTCAAGCATACTAACATTTCCTTCATGTTTATAACTTTATTATGAATGATATTATACATAGTGAAACAAAAAATTTTATATGTGTAAAAGTTGGTTGGTACTCTTTCGCTTAAATTAAGATCAGGTTTTGAGATTTTTAAAAAACATATATCTGAAATGTTTTAGCGCATACCCTAATAATACTCGTCCCTTTAAATTAATGCTTCATTTCACTTAGCGGATGAGAAGAACGCAAAGTGGAATTTAGGGATAAGCGTCGGAATTGTGACTTTGTTTTATTTCGGGCAATAATCTAATATATTTAGAGGTTAATATTATTATTACTTAGAGATTATTTAATGTTTCATATATAACGCTTTCAGGAATTTTGCAAAATCCAAACTTAAGCATGTTCCTGCCTAGAGTGTTTTGCAAAAAATCGCGGTGATTGGAGGTTGGGAACAAAAATACCCCTAAAAATGTTTTCTTACCCAGATTGTGAAGGCAACGAGTTAATGAAATATACTTTTTTAGCATATAAAACTAAATTTAAATTCATGGAAAGCTTTTTAATTTTATTTAATAATCTTTTAAAGTTCAAAAATAATAAGTGAATTTTATAACCCCCTCATTTTGGGGAGAGCGGAGATTTTTAATGGTCACAACCAGGGCCGGCGCGAGTAGGTGTCACGTGGGGGGTGCCGTTACGACTTAAAAAAAAAAAAAAAGGTCCTCGTTTTCCAAAATTTGCCGACTGTCATGACGACTGTCTAACCTATATCGAAAGGGTTGACTATTTTGCCGACTAACTAGTCTAAAACGGTCCAATTTGCCGACTAAGGGTCCATTTTGCCGACTAAAAATCATTGATGGGGGGTGTGACATCCCCCACCCCCACACACCCCTATCGCGCCGGCTTTGGTCACAACTTTTAAACATTAAAAGATTATTAAATAAAATTAAAAACTTATCGATGAATTTAAATCTAGTAAAATATGAATAAAAAACATCATTAACTTTATGAACACATTCAAAGTGGGGGGAGCCCTTTTTTGGGGGAAAAAATCTCTCATTTATGACTTAAGCTTTCAAACACTCTTGTTAAAAAAGAGAGCATGCTACAGTTTAAAGTATTAGATTGGAAATAAATTTAGAACTTTATTTTTAAGATAATTTAGTCTCGCAAGCTACTTAGATTGTCCTCAAAATATATTAGGCAAAGTTTCATGATTAACATATCCCAGCTAGCACACTTACATTGGGCCAACGTATGTAAAACCATTAACGTCGGCTCTTTTTTCAAATGCAAAACCAACGTTGATCCAATGCCATTTGGTTAATGATAAAGTTATTACCGACGAAACTAAAAACATCTGGCAAATTTACATTGGTCCAATGTATGTAAAAACATCACAAAAAGTTGGTTGCTTTTACGATCTAAACCCAATGTTAATCTAATGTATATATTTCGACATTGATTCAGTGTATATGAATCGACGTTTTTCCAATGTATGAAAAAACATCGCAAAAAGTTGATTGTTTTTACGATCTAAACCCAATGTTGATCTAATGTATATATTTTGACGTTGATTCAGTTTATATAAATCAACGTTTTTCCAATGTATGTAAAAATATCGCAAAAAGTAAATTGTTTTTACGATCTAAACCCAAAGTTAATCTAATGTATATATCTCAAAATTGATTCAATATATATAAATCATCGTTGATCCAATGTATGTAAATTTGTAGCAAAAAGTTGACTATTTTTACGAACTAAACCCAACATTGATCCAAAGTATGCGACCAAACATTGCTATTGCTAAATTATATAGCTTAAGTAAAATCTTCCGTGATTATTAAAATATCAAATTACAATCAACACAAACATGATTTATATATATATATATATATATATATATATATATATATATATATATATATATATATATATATATATATATATATATATAATATAAGTGTATATAGTATATATAGTATAGCAAAATTATATGTATATATATATATATATATATATATTGCATTCATTATTTGGCTTAAGCCAATTATGTGTACAGTAACGTATTGCACCTTCTAATATCGTGTGCAATCCTGTCCGCTATCTCTATGTTATCTTTCTAACTCGACATCTTCTGTCTTTCACTCTAACATATCTTCGTTCTTCCCAAATTCACTTACTCTTGGTCCGTAGAGCGGGTTATGACGCTCCTTGGGGAGCCGAACTTGTCTTTGCGGGCCTTGGTAATGTGGCCTCTGTATGGGAACTAGCCGGAGGAGGATAAACCACAATACCCATATGTATATATATATATATATAATTGTATATATATGTACATATTTATATACATATAAAGAAAATAGAATTTAAAGAAAATTTAATTCCGGAAAATAATGGACATTTTGCCAATTAAAGTTCAACGTTAAATCAACGTAAATACAACGTTGGGCCTAACGTATAAAATAAAACGTTAAATCTACGTAGAAAATATAATCATTTTCCGACCTTAAATAAACGTTTTATCAACATTTATTTTTAGTTGTTGGCGACGTCGCATTTGTAATCATAATGACTTAAAAACAACGTTGGCAGCCAATGTTGGGCCAACTAAACGCGCGACATTGTTCTAATGTTTTAACAACGTATGTGTGCTAGCTGGGATTGACGGATTTTAGCTCACTGCATTAAACTCACAAATTAAACAGATCGACATGGTTGTCGATCTGTTTAATTTAAATGCTGCTAAGTCTTGAAGATGCAATGCAAAAGATAAGTTAGAATATATTTTGATTCTAAAATATTTAATAGAGTTAACTGGATTCATTTTCTTCCCATTTAATCTGAAATTTAATTGCTTAATTAGTTTTGTTTGAACAGATTTAAATATATTAATTTCTGTTTTTTAAGAGTTAACGGATAATTTATTGGAACGGAGCCATTGAACAATATTAGCTAGATCGTGGTTTATATTTTTGTTAAGATAGATTTGTTAACTAGAAGCAAGTTGGTGTCATCCGCAAAATGATACACAGTAGAAAATTAAAGTGAAACATCTAAATTATTGATAAAAATAAGAAAAAGTAATGTTCCTAAAATTGAGTCTTGTGGAACACTGTCAAAATATTTAGTTAGTTTTGAGTTGATATCATTAATTGAAACAAATCGTATAAGAATACCTCTAATGCCGTAGTGTTGCAGTTTTTCTAAGAAATTTGTGTGCTCAACTGTATCAGATGCTTTTTTTTATGTCAATAAACACTCAGGTGCCCCAAGAAGTCCTAACGGTCTTATCACAAAGCACCGCTGATGAGCATTTAATTCGAAGTTTACGCCTCCTTCCTAACCAATGTGCAAAACTTGCCCAGAGGTGGGGTTTGAACCACGGTTCCTTTGTTTTTAAGACAAGTGCGCTACCACTGCGCCACGCTGCTCTTTATTACTTTAGCTACTTTAAAAGCTTCTGGAAAAATACCATTTTTGAAACAATTATTCATCGTACGTAGAGGTTTAGAGATAATGTGAGATATCAGTTTTAGAAGAAATGTTGGTAGACTTTTTTTTTTTGTTTTTTTTTTTTGTTTGTTCTTTATTACAATATTTAATACAATATCTACAAATATATCAATAACAAAAATTACATGCAAAGAAATTGTTAAAAAATAAATAATAAAGATAAAGAACGCGGATACTCAAAGAAGACCATACAGGTCTTGTCACCGAGAACCGCTGTTGAAGAATTTTTGAACTTAATTTAGACTTTAGAAAAAACAAAAATAAATAAATACAAATTTTAAACTTTTCTTTAGTTATGGTTTGAATTAAATTACTAATTCTTCTGAACCGCATTACTCAAGTGAAAACAATAATATCATAATATTCTTGATAAACAAATACGTCTCGCATCTTACTCGCATCTATACGATCACTGAACTTTGTTACTCAATGTATCTTGCAGTTACACTAATCTTAATTGTTAATTAATTAACAAATAAACGAAAATAATAAGAATATGATTGTACTAGGTACATCCAGATGTACTTCAAGGTTGTCCAAAAGATTGTGTAAAATTATCCAAAAGATTGTGTAAGAAGAATTTAGAAAGCCAAATGGTGGTATCACTGTGTGTAAAGCCAAAATTATCAAATGCTGGTGCCTTTACGTTTACGCTTCCACCGACAAAAATGCTAAACCACTGTCAAAGGATGGTTAAATTCCTGAAGTATCATACATAAAATATTTGCAGATACACCCATTCACATACATCAATTTTTTTTTTTTTTTAAATAATATATGTATATATATATATATATATATATATATATATATATATATATATATATATATATATATATATATATATATATATATATATATATATATATATATATATATATATATATATATATTTATTTTTAAAAAAAAAATAAATTCAATATTAAAAGTGTATACCGCTCGTAAGACAAATTATCAACAAATATTACGAATTAAAATAAAAATTAAAATAAACAAGTAAATAATAAATGACTACTGTACAAATATTGTCAGTGCAACTTTTAACAAAATTCAAATAATGGTGTTTAAATATAGTTTCTCGCATAAACTTTAAGAAAATTACTTTTTTTAGTTTTCTTTTGAACATATAATTCCATTCATGAGAAAAATCAAAATTTTGTAAAGTTATTTGGTTCCATAAAAAAGTTCCACGAAAAGAAATGCAAAATTTACCAAAATTTTGCATTTCTTTTCGTGGAGCTTTTTTATGGAACTACCCCATGCGATATTAGCATGATTAATATGACAGTGTATAAAAGAGTAATATAGTTGAGTTAATGAATGTTTGTTTAAAACGCTTCTTGCTTTATATAAAACTCCAACGCTTTTTGCAATTTTGTTGCATAAATGTCTGAAGTGATTCTTCCATGATAAATTTTCATCTACAATGATACCTAGAAAATTTGTGAAAATTACTCTTTTCATTTGAATATTATCAATATAAAGAAGAGGCATATTTCTTGGAAATAAACCGTGGATGAAAGAAAATCCATTTAGTTTTATCAATCTTGAGTGAAAGTTTATTTAACTTAAACCAGTCAGATATTTTTGTTAGTTCAATGTTCATATCATAAAAAGGTTTATTGATGTTATTATTTGATATGAATAGGTTTTTATCATCAGCAAACATTATAGTTGTTAATTTAGAGACTTAATGGAGATCGTTAACATAAATTAGAAATAATAAGGGCTCTAGTATAGATCCCTGTGGAG